TCCCCACGTTTCTCCTGTTTCCTCGAAGTACGTCGCATCGCAGTTTAGTTGCACTTTGCCCGGGTCTGGGGCAAACCACTTGCTGGGTATAGGGTATATCGGAGTGCAAACTCTTTCTGGGAATAAGGACGGTTTGTTCTTAAGTCCCACATTGGTAGGGTCACCTGTGGCCACCATGAGATCTTATTTTAGCCTAAGAAGATACTGTACTGAACCAACGACGGTGTCTTTCTTATCACCATGCACCAGGTTGTTCCTCAGACTCCACGCCTGCCAAAGAACTAACAGAATGTTATTTCTGACATTCTTTGTTTGAGACAGCAATAGCATCTGAAGCCAGTTCACTCCAGTATATCTGAGATCAGACTCCCTAGGCAATTCCCAACAGTTTCTCATTGCATGCCTTAGCGCCCGGCTTCTTGTGCAGGTGATAATGGCATGGAATTCATCTTCTTTCTCCATCCCATAGATTTTACACATATTGTCGTCCACTATGGTTCATCTAAATGTGTTATGCTTCATGGGTAGGGAATTAGTGGCCACTCTCCAACCGAAAATCTACAGTGACAATAAATTTCAGCACATAATATAAATTTCTCTTTACCAAATTTCACTCACCAAAAGCACTTCGCTCCTGAGCAACGGCGCCAAAAAAAGAGTCTTGATGACCCACAAGTATAGGAGATCTATCGTAGTCCTTTCGATAAGTAAGAGTGTCGAAACCCAACAAGGAGCAGAAGAAAATGACAAGCGATTTTCAGCAAGGTATTCTCTACAAGCATTGAAATTATCTGTAACAGATAGTTTGGTGATAAGATACGTAACGGATAGCAAGTAATAAGTGCAACAAAGGTGCAACAAGGTGGACCAATTCTTTTTATAGCAAAGGATAAGCCTAGATAAACTCTTATATAAAGCAAAGCGCTGGTGAGGACACATGAGAATTATCGTTAAGTTAGTTTTCATCATGCACATATGATTTGTGTCCCTTACTTTGATAATTTGATATGTGAGTGGACCAGTGCTTGGGTGTTGTCCTTACTTGGACAAGCCTCCCATTTATGATTAACCCCTCTCATAAGCATCCACAACTACGAAAGAAGAATTAAGATAATAAATCTAACCATATATAGCATGAAACATGTTGATCCAAATCAGTATCTTACGAAGCAACGCATAAACTAGGGTTTAATCTTCTGTCACTCTAGCAATTCATCATCTACTTATTACTTATCAATGTCTTTTCCTAGGCCCAAATCATGGTGAAGTGTCATGTAGTCAACGTTCACATAACACCGCTAGAGAAAGACAACATACATCGCATCAAAATATCGAACGAATACCAAATTCACATGATTACTTATAAAAAGACTTCTCACATGTCCTCAGGAACAAAAGTAACTAGTCACAAAGCATATTCATGTTCAAGATTAGAGGGGTAATAAATATCATTAAGGATCTAAACATATGATCTTCCAACAAATAAACCAACTAGCATCAACTACAAGGAGTAATCAACACTACTAGCAACCCACAGGTACCAATGTGAGGTTCTGAGGCAAAGATTGAATACAAGAGATGAACTAGGGTTTTGGAGGAGATGGTGCTGGTGAAGATGTTGATGAAGATTGACCCTCCCACTATGAGAGGATCGTTGGTGATGAGAATGACTTAGATTTGCCCCTCCTAGAGGGAAGTTTCCCCGGCAGAATCGCTCCCCCGGGCTCTAGGTTGCTTCTGCCCAAGATCTGCCTCGAGACAGCGGCGCTTCGTCCCGAAAGCTCTCTCTCCATTTTATCTAGGTCAAAACCCTCCATATAGCAGAACATGGACACCGGGGGCTGGCCAGGTGGCCCACAAGCCCTGAGGGCACGCCCCCGGGCTTGTGGCCACCTGGTGGGTCCCCTTCTATTGTTTTTTCGTCCAATACTTTTTATATATTCCAAAATAATTCTCCGTAAAGTTTCAGGACATTTGGAGTTGTGCAGAATAGGTATCTCAGATTTGCTCTTTTTCAGTCCAGAATTCCAGCTGCCGGCATTCTCCCTCTTCATGTAATTCTTATCAAATAAGGGAGAGAAGGCATAAGTATTGTACCATAATGTGAAATAACAGCCCATAATGCAATAAATATCAACATAAAAATATGATGCAAAATGAACATATCAACGTGCGGCAAGCCTGGTCGTAGGCGTGATCCTTCTTTGTGGCAGGGAGCCTTTCGGTAGTGCCTTCTTCTTCGGCGGCCATATCATGCTCCGTGGCTAGGAGCTCTTCTGACTCCCGGCACCTCAAGGTGTTCGGGGAAAAGGGCTTTGCGGAGGCCGTTGAAGCCATCGGACGTGGCCCGCCCACGACTGTGTGAGAGGGGACATGCTCGCGCGCCAGCTTGGACCGCCATGGCGCGACATCGGGCTAGCTGGAGCTGCTGGCCTCCGTGTCGTGTCGGCCGAACTTGCGGGGCGGCGACCCACCACGGCAACCATGCCCGCCGACACCACCAGCCATGGATCCACAATCAAAGGATAGAAAGGAAATGAGATGGGCGGCTAATTGCTCGCGGGAGTTCTTTATCGCCAGTGGCGGAGCTTATCCGGTACGCTAACCCTAATTTTTTTTACTGGCGGCAGCATTTTATGGATCTGTTTGATACAGTAAAAAAATTCAAAAAAACTGTAAACCGGATCTGCTAGACATGGTATAACCAAATTTCTTTGGCGCAACTCAAATAAAATAAAATTATTTGACATTTGATTTCTTGCCACGATTTACTTTGGAGTTTGACGATTTGCCACTCGTTATTTCGTGCTTTTTTGCCATTCCTTACTTCGGACTTGGAAGATTTGCCCCTGCCCGTGGAAAAACCCGAGACTGCCCCTGCCTCCACCCCATTCACCACTCACGGGTCACGGATAAGAGACGACAGCGGCGACTACATCACGGGGCGCTCTGCTCCATGTCCGCCGACGGCATGTTTGCTCCATGGCTGACCTCCTACCCATCCTCTGCTGCCTCCCGTCCTTCGCGCGCCTCCGACAAGGGAAGGCTTCTCATGCTCCCTGCACAAGCCCGGAGCGGCACCTAGGGCCCTCCCCGTGACGAGACCGGCATGGCGCGGTGGTTAGCGACGCACTAGAGGCGGGCCAAGTTAGCAAGTTCGATCCCCACGGGGCGACCTTGTCGGGAGCGACCTTCAGGCGAGCCACTGGGGCGGATGCCTGGAGCGGCGCCTCACTCCTGGGCCCTCCCCGTGGTGCATCCGCCTGGCATGCATCTGGTACTCCGGCGGTGCGGACAACGCCTGGAGGAGAGCAGTCGGCCATCGGAGAGGACGGCGGCGGCGGCGGCGAATGGGTTCATCCCTTTTGATTTGACTTCAATCGTTGAATCAGCTGGGTGCACCGATCAATCTAGCACAAAGGGTATTTTAGTCCACTGTTTTATGCATATATTATATTAATGATTTGCAAGTATTGTTTTTGTGTGAAAAATGGCAAAAAATTAAAGTGCAAAGTAAAGGGTGGCAACAAAACAATTACAATGTAAGCAGTGGTAAATTATCAAAGTGCAAAGTAAGTGATGGCTAAAAATCAAAAAATCCCATCCCCAGCCTCCTTCTGCTCAGCCATGGCGGAGGAGACCGCGGCTGCTCCGCTGCGCCTCCTGTCCGTAGCTACCGCCGCCGCGACCACCGGCGCCATGTATCTTCCTCGTCGCCCCTCTGCTCGTTTGGAGCTTCTGGTCGCCGACGGCAGTCGTCCTCCACGCGCAGCGCCTAGCTAGGCCGACCGCGAGCACACAGTTCAAGCGCCTCACAGATGCGCCGCGGATTCCACCGGAGAGCCGGGGCGTCGTTGCCCGCAGACAGCTCCGCCATGCCCGCCGCTCTGCTATGTGAGTTCTTCCGTGTCCAATTTTAACCTCTGGATATTGGACATAACCCGTAGAATTTGTGCATTTGAAGACGCCACTCTGAACCTGGCGCTAATTAACTTGGCCTGGGATTAGGGTATTGTTGGTCGACAGGCTTATATAGTATTGTTGGTCGACTCGACTGAAAGCAGCTTGTACACTGGCTACCATGGTCTCAAGTCAATTATAGTACTGCACAGTGGTGTGGTGTCCAGATGCAGGCACATGTTTGAGACTGTATTCATGCACCTCATCTCATTTATGATGATCATCCTTCAAATTATGTGCATCCAGCGTGTACCCGGTACCCTCACATGCGACTCCTCGCTGTTATCAGTGTTCTTAATTTCTTGGTTCTTTTGGATACTTGTTGAGAGTGGACAACAAGGTGCGCGTACCCTCACATGCGATTCCTCGCTGTTATCAGTGTTCTTAATTTCTTGTTTCTTTGGATACTTGTTGAGAGTGGACCGTAAGCTAGTTCCTATGAGAGTTCTTCTGTAACATGGCCAGATTAGAGTATCGTTGGTCGATGGGCATATATAGTATTGTTGGTCGACTCGACTGAATGCAGCTTGTACACTAGCTACCATGGTCTCAAGTCAATTATAGTACTGCACAATGGTGTGGTGTCCAGACGCAGGCACATGCTTGAGACTGTATTTATGCACCTCATCTTATGTATAGTGGATCATCCTTCAAATCATGTGCATCCAGCGCGTACCCTCACATGCGACTCCTCGCTGTTATCAGTGTTCTTAATTTCTTGGTTCTTTGGCTACTTGTTGAGAGTGGATGTGCAGCTAGTTTGTTGGCTAGCTCCTGTAACATGGAAATGCATATCATATTCTTTCGACAGTCTACAACATGTCTACTTCTACTAAGTTGATGTGGACTCGCTAGCAGGCGGTCTCGTACTCTCAGTGCAGGGGTGTTCGCTTCCTTCAGAGTTGGGAGGTACCAAGCCGCCACTTTGCAGTGTCATACTCAATATGTGCAATTAGGCTCCTGTGCTCTTACTTTGATTGACTGTCATTACTGATTTTATGTATCTTCAGCTATTGTGTTGCAGGATCAAGCTCGCAACAATGGCTGGAGGGGCGTTAGGCTTCTGGAATGACTGGGCGTCCCAGATCTCGGTTCTCTTGAGCCTCTTCTTCCAGGTGTTACTCCATATATTTGCTAACATCCGTCGGCGTAAAGACGGCTCATCTTGGCTGAGGGTCCCCCTCTGGGTGGCGTACCAGCTGTCTGACTCCACTGCGACATACGCCGCCGGCCAGCTCCTCTTCAGCGGCGCAACAAAAGACCACCACCTCATTGCCTTCTGGGTGCCGTTCCTCCTGTTGCACCTCGGCGGCCCGGATAACATCACCGCCTACGCCCTCGAGGATAGCAAGCTCTGGGGGCGCCACTTGCTAAGCCTTGTGGTGCAGGTCCTGGCAGCTGCAATTGTCCTATACAGGCATATCGTCGGCGGCGGGACCTTGCTCATGGTGGCTGCCATCTTGATATTTGTTCTCGGCACTGCAAAGTATGTGGAGAGGACATGTGCTCTCTGGTCCGCCAAGTTCAGCATCCTCCAGAGCTCTCTCAAGGTACGGGCACATGACATGCATCACCGGCAATTTTATACTGAGTATCAAGACTGGTACAATGATGGCGAACTAGTCCTGCAGCATGCTCACTGCCTGTTTCATATCTGCAAGCGTGGGATAGTTGATTGCGTGATCGCGGTGGATGACTCAGGTAGCCAGAATGAGGGGGATTATCTGGAGAACACAATAATCCAGGGCCTCTTGAGAGACCGTGAACACATGTGGAGGGTGATGGAGGTGGAGCTCTCCCTCATGTACGATATCCTGTACACCAAGGCAGGCGTGATCCACTCTTGGGTTGGCTACTGCATCCGTGTCATCACGCCACCCGCTGTCGCCACCTCCCTCGTGTTGTTCCAGTTGAGCAGCAAAGATGATTACAGCCTAGTCGATGTTGCCATCACATACACCTTGTTGGGTGGCGCCTTGGTCCTGGAGACAAAGTCGCTCCTTGGTGCACTAGGCTCAAGCTGGGCGCTTACCTTCTTGTGTGCCATGCAATGGGATTGGCTCCGGCATTCTGCTGTGTGCGCTGGAGGATGGCGTCAGCTTCGGCGCACACTTTTTTCTCTCCGCCAGTCCTGGCCTGTCAAGGTGATGATGACAGGAAGCTCGCGGAGGTGGTCAGGCACCATGGGGCAGCACAACATGTTGTGGTCTCGTGCAAGGCAGGTGGATCCAATGAGTCAACGCCTCGGCAATCTATGCAAAATGCTGGGCCTCGGCAAGTGGTGGGACAAGAGGTACATGTGGACCATCGATGTCTCTGAGAAGGTCAAGAAGCTTGCATTGAATGTCACAGGAAATGATATGAACACAATGGGCTTGCGCAGGACTAGATGGGGTGAGCGGGCACTGAATGAGGACCGCTATCCTGGGCTGTTGAAGGATTTGGAGGATTATCATGGAGTTGACTTCCATGAGAGTGTCATCAGCTGGCACATCGCCACCGACTTGATCCTTGCTAAAATAGACCAAAGGGGCGATCATGTGTCTGAAGACCATGTGGAGCTAGTCAGCGTATTGTCCAACTACATGATGTTCCTCCTTGTGGACTCTCCCGACATGCTACCAGGCCTTCCCCAAAACTGGTTGTACGAGCAAACCTGTACACAACTGGATGAGATATGCACTAAACACATCGCAGGCTCACCTGGTAACAGCTTCTGCACCATGCTCAAGAACTTGTTCCGACCTCACCATCACCGTGGCTGGAAACCTTCAGAGCTTGAGAAGGAGATCGCCATCGACATACCGAGCAAGCTGAAACGCTCCAACTTCATCAATCCTCGGCTCACTTATGCGGGTATCATTGCTAAGACACTACTCGATAGGAAGGAAGATGTGGTTTATGCGCTGCTATTGTTGTGGTTGAACTTCCTGGCCTATGCAGCCAACCGGTGCAACAGGGAAGTGCATGCAAGGAAGCTCGGCAGCGGCGGTGAGTTGCTGACTGTCTTTTGGCTTTATCAAGAACACCTCCACCAAGTAAAAGAAGGCAGAAGAAAGGGGCAGGACCTTGTATAATTCACTGTACTAATGAGTATCTAGAAATATCTTCACCTTCTGTATTTTGTGAACTTACCTTTCTTCAGTTCAGTTCAGCATCCTTTGTCCATACTAAGTTTGTGTCTCATGACGAATACCTCTCGGAGGACAAAACGCCCATTGACATGCTAGCTAGCCCAGCAATGATCGAGTGAATAAACTGTGGTGTACTCCCTCCGTCCGGAATTAGTTTACGCTCAAATGGATGTATCTAGACGTATTTTAGTGTTAGATAATCCGTTTGAGCGTCAAGTAATTCCGGACGGAGGAAGTACATGGTTTTCGTCGCAATGATGATCTGTGATCAAAATTATGTACAAGTTCAAAAGTAGATGCAGGTCCGGAGGTCTTAGCTTTGGCAGTGCAGTATTTGCATACTAGTTTTGCGATTTTTTGGCAGCGGCAGAAAGTCAAGCCCAGTTGGTTCTGTGATGTAGCAGGTTCTGTCCGAGTTCCTCTAATGACAGGAGAGCTTAAAAGGTGCCGGCAATGCATAAGAGTTCAACAATGTATCGGCCACGGCGCACATTTTTTTCTCGTCGCTGGTCCTGGACTGGCAAGATGATCATAACAGGAAGGTCGAGGAGGTGGTCAGGCACCGTGGGCAGCACAACGTGCTCTTGTTGCAATGTCAGTGCAATGAGCACCCACGTAATCTCTCACCATCTAATCTTCAGTTAATTGTTGGAAGTATTTAGTTTACTGCTTAGCTTGGTACAGATGGAATGCCGACCCTAGTTGTAGCATGTCTTTGGAGGATCTGTGGTTTGGGAATGCTTCTCTTGCTATTAACTTTTAGACCTGCTTTGCAGCGAAATTAGAAGGTGGTAACCATCAGGAGGTTTGATCTGAAAACTAACTTTGAGAGGAGCCTTATCTGAGGGAGTGATGGTTTTGAGCTCAAGGCAATTGTTAGCGTTCTTTTTGTTTTGAAGGAAATTGTTACTGCTCTGAACATAAATAGAAATGCTGAACTTCAGAGGTGTGGTGCTTGGTTTTCAGCCATGCTTGCAAAATTGCTGTTTCACCAATTAATAGGATATATATCTTCATTTCATCGCGGGGCCATAATAACCCGATAAGAGTACTTAACCAATAACTTAATGATAACTTGCCAAAGAGAAACATTGTGAAACCAGGTGCAAATTCTATATCCTACTGATTCTTCAGAAATACAACTGTTCATGATCTTTATGTTGGTTGTGGGCTGGCTTCCAGGTTATGCAGTCAATTGTCTGGTACTCTTTAGTGTAACATGTCTGTAGCTAGGTAATACAGTACTACAGTAGCAGGCTTTTTATTGAGTGAGAAAATACAGTATGAGGCTCTGATTACTATTTCTTCTGCTGCAGTGAAAATGCATTTCAGCCAATGCAGTAAACTTGGAAGCAGAGTTTTTGTAGAACAAAGGCAGAGTACGGCTGCCTCCTGTTGTCCTGAATGACCGGGCTGCCTGTCATTGCTCTGCCAAAATCCTCCTGGACGATCTTGGCCGGGCCGGCCTGGTACGTGAAACGACGCCACCAGAATCCTTAGCAACACAAGGTATTTGCCCGAACCGCGAAGAAATTTCTTATCTTGCTCGGCATCACTTGTGACTGTAGTGTGCTCTGTGCTTATACTGCCTCATCAGAATTTCCAAGCCTCTGTTTATTGCTGTTCATTTGCGTCACCATTCACTGAAAATGTTGTGAGCAGTGCGACTAGAATCAAGAAGGCCACAGCCACTGACACCAAAATGCTGATGGATGTGTGTGATGTCGCGTGCTCCTGGTCTCCTGGCGGCAGATATGCGCACGCTTCAGAACAGACAAGCCCGCTACGGTGTGAAAGGTGGGCACTCAGCTTCGTATGAGTGATCAGTACAAATTCGGACAGCCGGCCAGTATGTTATTCTTGACCTCAGCCAGTTATCCTCATCTCTGAAGCATGTACTATGCAACATTAGTTAGCTAGGTAGATAGTTGTAGATGCAATACTTGCAAAATTAGTTAGCTAGTACTAATGGACAAGCAGCTAGATAGTTGTAGATGCAATAATTACTTGTGCAACTAACAAAACTGCATTTGTCGTAGTATTTGATTTCAGTGGAGGAGATCAATGGATCCAGCGATTCCAGCTACCAGGTGCAGTACCTGACTTCATGCGAGGTGTCGCCGCGCATCTTATTCTCATGCATTCTCCTCGCCCACATCCGTCGGCGTCGACCGTCCGGTGTGTGGATGTTCATCCTTTGGCTGGTGTACCGGCCAGCTGTCCAGCTGGGTCACGCCATACGGCCTCAGCCCTCAGCAACCTGTACCAGGGTTAAAAATTTCAACGAAGCCGGGCTGGAGACCTTGTCGATGACAGCCGGGAAATCTTCGTGCATATGCCCCGAAAGGACCAGCGCCCTGAACCGCAGTCGTGGACGTTGAATCATTGAATCGATCTGAAAAACCTGACACCAAATATCGCCGTGCGTACAAACCGTAACCTCGCCGCCCCCAAGGAGCTGGCAGGAATCTATGCTAAAGTTTCGTCTAAAACATTCCAATGGACGAACTTGGGGAGGATCGTAGACCGGAAGACTAACCCAAAGAAGGTGCACCGCCATCCGTCCAAATGCCGCCCCTGCGAGGACTAAAACCCTACCTATCTACTAGCGGGTGTCGAGACACTAGGATTCTCCTCCCCGCCACCGGCCCGCCGGAGCGGCAGGCGGATTGGAGGCGAATCCACGGGATCGTCCACGGAGATAGAGGGGAGCAAGGCTTTCCCAAGTCGCCTTGGGAGAGAGGGAAAAAAAGCCAACACCTATGAAAAGAAGTAGTTCCTGGGCGCTCCTCCACCGCCTGCCTCAGGGTGCGAGAATGAGCCGAGCCAATTTTTGTCGGTCAGAAACAGAGTCTGTAATAGACATATCAGATCGTGGGCTATCACCAACTCGGACGTGGGTCCATGCATGTCCTCCTATCTAAGCGCGCCTATATAATGGAGGCGTCGGCAACCCTACCCGCCACCTGAAGAACAGATCGCATCTGATCTGCCTCCACACGCACCGCCCCTTTCCTTTTTCTACTACTGCGGTCAGTGATCCCATCCAGTCCACTGCGTACTGGGTTGACGGGGAGAGCAGGCCTTCAAAAGCCCACCTCTCGAGATCATGTACGGGAGAGGGGCGATTAGGTTTTTTTGGAGCATCTCCTATGTGACTGATCGTCTCCGTCCGTCTGCATCCACCATCGTCTATGTCCACGTCGCCTTCGTCGCCGCCATGCCACCGAAGCTGACCGACTTGCTGCTGAGAAGGCCGCTGCTGACAAGAAGGCCACCGAAGACGCCGCTGCCGCCATCTCCGCAGCGGTTTTTCCATGGCCTACTGGAAGGTATAACACATTTATCTCGCTTCTATTTATTTCTTTCTTAGCAGTACTAGCTATGTGCGTAAATGTGTCGACTATATGTGTAGTACATGCTTACCTTGATAGTAATCAGCATGTGATTAATTTTGTCAATGCCATGCTCAACAGATTTAGGCCGGCCTGGAACATGACACTGGCCAACCGGATCCCTAACAACATCAGGAGGATCAGGTATTTGCACTCTGCATCGTCCAGATCATTCTTTGGCAGTAGGGCATTGTGCGCAGATTGTTTGCTCTGTTCTTCTGCCCTGCCATAAGAATTGTCATGCCTCTGTTTTTCACTTTTCAGTTGCTTCGCCAAAAACTTTCAGAAGAACCTCTTCTGCTGGCCTTGTGCGCAGATTGTTTCAGCTCGAGATTTTTCTTTTCTGAAGCAAATTGTTAGCGCTCTGAACTTGAATTGCAATGGCGATGCTCTCATCTTGCAGGGCAGAGCGCTGAAGGGACTTGTAAAACTCATACGTATATGCTGTTATCAGTTACAGAGGTGTGGGCTAATATTTTAGCCGTTTTATCTGCATTTCATTTGTCGCAGGAACAGGACTTCTAGGCCATAATAAAGCAATGAGTAAACACAACTTGCTGAAGAGAAACATTGTGAAACCAGTTGACTGGACTCTTCATGGAAAAATGGAACTGTTTATGTTCAATATTTTTGGTTGAGTAGTGGCTACCAGGTTATGGATTCAATTGTCTGATACACTTTACTGTCACATCAAATGTGTGCTAGATATGTGACACTACAGTGGCAGGCTTTTGTTGAGTGAGGAAACGCAGCCTGCAGTTCTAATTACTCCCTCCGTTCGTTTTTATAAGGCGTTTTGGGTAGTTGGTTTTGAACTGTTTAGAGCACTGTCTGAATAGGATTAAACGTCTTATATAAGTGAACAGAGGGAGTACTAATTATTCAGCTGCAGGGACATTGAGTTTCAGCTAATACAGCGGACTTGGATTAACTGGGTCGGGCAATGTGTCTTGTCAAATTTTGCTAAGGAGATGTGGGCTTATGTACAGGGGTTCTATGTTGAGATTGCACTTGAGAGAAGCTGAAATTTCATTCCTGGAGGTTTCTCAAGGTAGACTGAATGGCTGCTCAAAAATTAAACGTAATCATGTGTTGTATCCTCTTCTGTACTCATTCTGCTTCCTTCTATCAATGAAATGATACACAAACTTTGCGTATTCACGAAAAAAAAGAAAATGGCGGATGTACATAAAGTCTTGCTTGGACTCAAGATGCCATCTTTTCAGTCTTAGTGTCGGCCTTTCAGGATAACGGCATTGCAGTTACATGATGAAGTAGGTGCACAGGAAATCAAAATAGAGTGAGACGATAATAGCACATCCATCTGGCAGTTAATCGGTCGCCACCACCTCGATAGCGGCAGAATGACACCATTATCATGAGTGTGACATTGGTCGGCACGCGCGTGGCATATAGGTGCTGTGGAGGTGGCTGTGCAGGCTGCGAGAGTGAGCAGATCCAGCTCAGTGATGGTGTTCATTCTGTATGCCACACCCGTGCTACCAAACTCACCAACAGATCTGCGAGGAGAGTGAGCACATCATGCGC